CCTTGAAGTTGGTCACGTGCTGTTGTTGTCGTGATTGCAAGATGTCCTCGATATGCACTGAAGCTAGTTCTGAACCTCTGTCTGTCCTGTGACGACCATCTGATCAAATGCGTGAAAAGCCGCAATGAGAAAGGTCAGGGTGGTGGATGACCCTCAGGCAAATCGACCCTCTTGACTCGCTACCATGGGTGCATAATCGGTGTCATGCACACAATGTCCTTTAACGAGGCTATTGCACAAAAACAATCGTTTCCTCGGTCTTTCTGGCGCACCGCGAAGACAACCGAGTATCGATTCATAGCATCAGTGAAACGCCTGGAAGAACGGGGTTGGCTCCGCAACTGGGAAGTCATGTCGCTATGCGGCTCCAATGTACTGACTGTGGCAGCTACTAGACCACGGTCGGTGGAGTTCAGCCAGCCTTCAAAGTCACGCGTCCGCGGCTCCCAGCCCTTCTCCGCTTCGTCCAGGCCAGCATTGCGACGCCATCGATCTCCACGATGATGACCGGCGGCTGATGCATGGCGCACAGGCCTAGCTCACCCGTGACGGATGACCACAGGGCAGCTTCCGTCTCAATGCTTTCCGAGCATCTACACCGCAACGGAGACTTCTACATCGCCTCTCCTTGTCCATGGCATGGCGTTGCATCCTTGCATGACATGTAGCGCCCGAGATACAGTCAGCCAGTGGCCATCCGGGGCGGTTCTCCGCCGTGGCTCACAGGCTAGGCGTAGAACCGGTATGGCTTCCAGCAGCGGGACATCAGGCGGAGGTCGGGTCACGAACAAGGATTGCTTGCACAACGACGCGCCCAGGGTGTAAGAGGGAAATGTGTAGCAGAAAGTCGCTGGGGCCAGGACGCTGGTTCCCCCCAGCCAGCTAGCGCGACGCGTGGGATCGTGCAGTCTTTATCTGCAAGGACGGGGCACTTCACGTCTGTCGATAGTCAGCCGCCAGGTGGCTCTCAGGACCTTGGGAAATACGCCTAGAGAAACGCGGATGAGCAGCACATGACCGTCGCAGTGCGCGGACCTCTCCATGGCT